GTAGAGCGCTGCACTAGTATCGCAGAGGTCAGTGGTTCGAGTCCCGTACAGGCCTGATTTTTTTCAGGTCTGATTTTCGCTATTGCCTAAATAGCGCTATCTACTGCGAGGATCGTGCATCATACGTATAATATATTTATGCGATTAACAAATTTGTTCGTTTATCACAGAGCTTGGTTGCACTTTATCTTTAGTTGTGATTAATTTCTAGTGTCATTGCTTCAGGACGGTTAAATACGGTATTCTAAATAATAACAGGCGCAATAAGCTACATGCAGTCATCGACTTCCTACTTTTGTTTTGGCAGGTACGTACAAGTCTTTAAAGATGACACTGACGGCGTTTGTTTAACTGAATTACCAGCCTTCGCGTTGCAGTTGTATCACTCAGCAGAAAATAGGCTAAAAGACGATGCCGGAGGTTTTCTAGACATTCGTACCGGTTCCTGAGACAATCTATTTTTTATTTCGGCAATAGAAAATACTCCGGTTGTTGTCACGCGCCGTGAAGTCATAGGAAGAATATTTTAAACTTCATTAAAGCCTCGCATTTTTTTTTTTTTTTGTATTAATATCTAAAGAATATTCTGGCCAAGTTTCATGAAAATCCTTTTTATTCTATTTACTTATATATTTATAGATTCGTACAGTTTACAGGTGAGAGAATAATAGGACACATAGTCCCCTACTGGGTTCACCCACCTAAACCAACCCCATAAAATGTAGAAAACCGACCCCTTACCCAAAACTACAATTAAATATTAATAATGTGACAAATTCACTTCTTTTGTGAGGTGCAATATGCGATGTAAACGAAATATGCTAACCGAGATCGCGGACAAAGTCCGCAAAAAATGTCAATACTCCGCTTGAATTATTGACAATAAAACCTGAATTAAGCGAAAGTATACAGTGCAAGTTTACTGAACCAGCGTACCACGGATTCTTAATAACGCACGTGGGAAATTTTTCGAAAACATCCTATCATTGAACATAGGCTATTTTCAAATACCTTCCTTGAGAACTTCAAAGCCCGCATCAGTGTTTGCGTTTTGGCACGCCTTTTGCACCCCTGAATCCTGCTTGAATTTCAACCATTGACTGGTTACAGGCTCTTCAGGATCATTGAAAGGACGGTCTTGAACAACAGCTCCTTTTTCCATCATCAGCGAGTTTATGCTTAAGTTCCCGTTCCCTTTCTGCATTTCGGAGATGTCATCTTTGTCAAAGGTTAATGCAGTACTCTTATCTTGGTCCTCTGAAAAACACAATTATGCAGACATGATTGAGCCAGCAAAACATCTAATACACCCGATAGAGCGAAAACCTAAAAAGCTATCAAACATATAATAAAAGCTCATTTACTTGTAATTTTAATGTACAGTTTTTTAAATTTGGCAACAGACTGCAACTTGAAATTTCTCCACAATAATAAACTGCTGACATCTGAATCCAGTTTCGTTTCCTGAAAAGACCCGAAGGATTTGTTAAAACAGGGACATTGACACTTAAGTTTACAAATATTTCCTAGGTTAATCTGAAACTCATCAGACTGGTATATTTCAGGGCTCACAATGTTGCTTTCAGACATGACCTCTTTACTTAAGTAAGCAGTTGCATCGTTCAATTTTCCCTTTTCCACACTGGCTGAACGATTTGGAAAGTCGAAAGAGACGTCTAAAGTTGAATTTGATTCGCCCAAAGAAGAGTATGTGTAACACATGTCATTCACGTCATCGCACTAGTAAAGTCCTGAAGAAATGAGCAACCTGTGGGTGGTCCGAAAAATCCGTTCCTCCTCTTTACCTGCAAGGTTTAGAATCTTATTTGGTCCGTGATAACTTTTGCTTTCCTCAGTTTGATTTTTTGAGGTACCTGTATGACCCCAAGACCCGTCTCCTGTATTAATTTTCACAGTGCTCCCACAAACGTTTTTGCTTTCTTTTTGCCTATGAATTATCGTTGCCCCTGTCAAGAGAACAGTAAACCAAAAAACACCATTACTAGTTGTATCGCACCCTGAAAATAAATGGAGTCCTGGAACTAAAGAAAAAAATATTGCGCAAGTCGTAAGCCTTGAAACTGCGAAATGCACATGAACGTAATCCCAAACAGACCACGTAACAAGAGTCATTAGAGAACCACTTACAACACAATGTGCCTGGCAAAATTCTGCGGATAACGTTGACTTGCCTAATTTTTAAAATCATTTTCCCGTTGCTTCCATGTCGAGAAGGATTTCTTAGTGAAAGGTAAATATTTAAAAGAATACTAGATTCAGAAAATAGTCATGATGGACAAATTTGTTGGAGAGCGACGACAATAGCTCTGGATTAACAGTTCTTTGATTCCCAAATACGGTACAAATCATGGCAGGAAATGCATGATCTGTGCAGCATTATCTAATCTTTTGTGGTTTCAAAACTAATAAATAAGAGAGTACCTCCTCACCTTTGTGCTTATGATACTTCTGGAACCAGTTCCTGCTAAATTTGAATGCTTGACCATAGGGCAAACCCAAATTCTAAAAGCAAAATAAAAATAAACTTTTAAAAAATGAACTCATTCACACCTCTTATATTTCGAAAAATATTATCTCTTAAAGGACAAATAAAGTTAGACCCACACCCTTACAAGTTTCCTGCTATGATCGCGCAAAAATCCACAAACTTATAGCCCACTGGTAGCCCAGGCACCATACAAAAGTAAATTACAAATCCTATGACAATTCAAAGTCTCTTTTGTCCAATTATATTCAAGCCCTTGGAAACATCTGTCCACCCGTAAAATAACCCTCATTCCACAAGGGGTGTCATCAAGAGGGTCTTAATAGGGTTTAACGGTCAGCCTTCAGAGGGCCAAAACATATAACCGTCAACCGTCAAAAATGGTAAACTTTTACCACAACCGTCAAAAAGCAGTTCAATATTAACAGTCAGACGATTTAAGTTCCACCAATGCATGTCAAATTGATATCTGCTATTCTATAACAGAAACCTTTAAATCTTCCAAAAAGTCTGAAAGATTTAAATCATGAAATAAACAGACATTCAGAAATTCCAACATATCCATCTATATGTATGTATAGCGTCCTTCAGTGATCCATAAGCTGTTACAAGTGTGACTGGTCATGATGTCAGAGATTCTAACTTAAAAAAAAATCCAACAATGTTGTCGATACCAGACTGATTAATCAAAAGATTAATCTTCAACATCGTTTCATTTGAAGGTTTCTGGTGTTCCTTCTTTCCATTATTTTTCCAGCCTCCCCAATAAAGACTGCCGCCATTAAGCGCCAGCCACGCGTACTTGATTATAGCATATTCACTTGAAGTCATCCTTACCCCTAAAACTGCGGGCTTGAAAACGGTACACAGCTCGCAACACAACTCGCACTCTTCCGCACACAATGAAATACCTTGATTTGCATGCCCATGAAACTTCATCATTCCTAGCTTTATATCTTCGAACAGTATCGACACAGTAAATTCTAATCGAGTCCTATAATTAGTCTTCGTCCACGTCTTTAGAAATCCTCATGTAGAATACAATCATACCTCTCCAATCATACCTCCCCAATCATACCTTCACTAATACACTTTTGAGTTCCTCCTCGGATTTCATAAGATTTAACGTCTCATCCTGCGAAATGAAAATGAAAGAAAAAGTTGTCAATTTTCGTAGCTCTTCGCTAAACAATCAAGCAGACAACAAGTGTCCTCGGACAACGGAGTATTTCTACCAAAGATTCCCAAGGCTTGGTAACTTCACAAGTAAACAGATTATTAAGGTCTTTCAATAAGCTTTCGGTGTATTTTAAACTTATTTCATAGTCAGGTAAAGTAGCGAGAAGATATACTGCACTAGTGCATCTGCACTGTTCGTCTTTAGATCGACTTTGTCTTTGGATACATCATCTTCTGCTTCGAGCAATAGTTTTCAGCGTTTCAAGAACAGGAAACCATGTTTGCCTTTGATTGCCAACGAGACGCTATTCTAAAAAGCGTAAACTCGGGCTTGCATGGGGATTTGTTGTGTAATAAATAAGCGATTCTACACGGTACCTGATGCGCATTCCTGGTGCCCGGTTTTGTTAGGGAGCGCTTGACCATTTCGATTAAGAAATAGAGCAAAAAGAAAAAAGAAAAAAAGGCCAGATCATTCTAGCTTACGGCAGTAGACGCCATTTTCAATTATGTCGATAACTTCATTTATTCAAGTACAAATTTCAGAAGTTGGTGGAAATATCATTTTTGTAATCAAATGAAACGTACCAGATACCGTTTTTAGCAACTGAAGTTCCCTTTATTTTGATGGACCACAGTGGTGACTGTTAAAGTACGATAATTTGAAGAAGTGAGAAAACTTTCCAACGATTGAAACATCCTCTTAGAGGGATGGCATATTATCTGGGTAATGTTTTGTTTTTGTAGAATTCAGTGACCGCCGAAAGAAACACGAAAATTTGCATACTTTAAAACTAATGAAAATATCTCCCGTAAAATAAGTTGATGGAACCTTTAACAATTTTTGTTAATTACATTCATGCAAGGGGGTGAGATGGCAAAATAAAAAAATAGGTCCCCAATGCGTACATGTGTGGCTTATGAAATTGAGCTGCATTTTAGTGTCTGGTGTCTTGCTTAGTTTCCATTAGAAGAGCTAATATCTGACTATGGTTAGATAGTTTTCAATATTGTTCCTGTTCATCGATAAAACAAGATAACTAGCATACAATGGTCTTGAAATGTTCATTTCAAGATGAGGGTTAAAGGCCAAACTTTGTTATGGAGGTCTCGTTTTGACAACAAAGGTTGCACATGTAACCTGAGGATTTTAGTAACTAAAACAAAAGTCAGCATCATCGCCCATACTGGCCTGATAGATTCAGTCATTTTTTTGTTTATGTATGGAGTGGAATTGAGTTCTGAAGTTTAAAGGTTGATTGTCTTTTCCAAGGCAAGTGATGTAAAATTACCTCTTGGTAAGCATTTCATATGAAAATTTTATGTACCAGTACGCGAAGACAAAACTTTCCAGACGGGCCAGGGCATTCGGAAAATAATTTAATCTACACTAGAAACCATTAGAAGCTTGATTTGGTTTCAATGTATGACTAATTTAGGACAATACATAAGTGTTATTAACCAAGCGTGAGGTCAAGATGGCTGGATATTGGCCAAGTTCTTTTTTTGCATTTTATGGACTAAGAATAGATGAAGATCGAGGTCCATAAAAATGAGAAAAAAGAACGAGGCTAATATCCAGCCATCTTGACCGAACAAGCTTGGTTAATAAAGGATTTATTATATTGCAAAAAGATGTCGCTTTATTAAGAGTTAAGAATGACGTTTACTTCGAGAGCCAGGAAAGAAAGCCAACTGTGTTTGTAGCACAACAAACTCACGAGAGTCGTTTCTGTTTTCTTTGTTTTGACTGTCATCTGCCGCTTTTTGCGCTTCCATCGCCGAAATTGTCCAAGAATTACGAACGTAGTGCTAATTCCATTTTTTTCACGCGCGGGATCAATGCGGGAAATCCTGAGCGGGCAAGATGGGCCCATCTTGCCTGCTCGGGTAGCCAATCAGAACACAGAATTCGCTTCATCTTGCCCACGGACGCTGCGAGCGTTGTAATAAATACATGTCAAGTAAAACAATGCTGAGCGTAGGTTTCTATTTAAACAATAGAGTGTTTCTGTCGAGGAACTATCGGCTGATAGTTGCCCTGCGGAAATTTGATGTTCTTAAAACAAATATGCTGGTTTTAAGAACATCAAATTTCCAAGGGGAAACTATCAGACCGATAGTTCCAAGACATAAACACTCTATCGTCTTTATTGTTCACCCCTAAATTTCCTTCCGTGCGCCAGTTGAAAAACAGTCAAAGCTCACTAAATGCAGATCAATCAAACATTTATTCATGCGTGCAGCATGTCACAAATGTCAATAATTTGCGACCGTACATTGGCTAAATAATACGTTATACCTGTCAGAATTCAAAAGTCACTGTTTTTCCGATCTACCTAACTTCGCGGCCGTCAAACCATTCAAAAATTTTCACGGATGAGTACTATCCATCCGGGTATTTTCCGCGGACGGGCACTATGGGCTGATAGTGTCTCTCGACGTTACGGCACGGATGAACATATCGCGTCACGTGATCAATTTAAACCAATAAGAATCGGAGAAAATTTAGTGGTGAAGTATAATGTCCATTAGGGCACAAAGTTCTATTTTCGGTTGGTTGAGAGCAAAACGTTTACTATGATTATTGTACTTGAGTTTTGTGGGACTGTATTTTCAATAAAGAACACAGAAAAATCTAATTGAGGTAGGTGGATATGGGGTTGCAAATGGAAGAATTTAGGAAAAAAAGATAGGTACATAACAAGATCAGAACACAAGCAATATTTTAATGAATCATGTTGAGTAGTACTCTGAAGTAACATTACATTCGCATTGCTAATAATTTTTCATCCAATAAGATTTACAATTTGACCTGGAGGTTTTATTTAACAGAAAGTTGGATAGAGAGACAGGGTCACCATAATAGATTTCAGGAACAGTAATCAGAAACATTACTTAAACGCCCGGGGGGGGGGATACTGCCATATATGGGCTATATAGGTATGTGCCGCTGTGAAGGGTATGGTTTTCAAGCACTTTACTCCAGGATAGGGAAAATAAATCAGAGCATTTGGGTCTAGGATAGGGTATCATTTTTCAGGAAACTGATAAGTTGGTTGAAGATTTTATCTAGACTAGGGAATTGCCACTCAAACATATAAAAAAATCAAATCGACAAGTTGAAATTTACGCAACTCAGCCTCGGGAGTAAAAGCAAAGAAAGTGTCAATAGATGGCTATCATAAAACAGTACTGGATATTATTAATCGTCAAAAATCGGGATTCAGACGGAAGTCAGTGGTTTTAATACTGGTTAAATTAAACAATTTATTGTTCCTTATAATGGCGTATGTGCGTGCTTGGCATAGCTCAGCCCCGGAGCTCAGCATTTAACTTGCAACGCGACAAGTTGAATACGGGGTTGAAAATCGTTCACTTTCAGACTTTTCCTGTAATTCTTCTAGTTTTCTGTTTTGTTATCAGTAATATGCTTGTGTAGAGAAGGTGTTTTGAACATCTGAAGTGAACACGTTGCACCGTTGTAATAATTATAGTACTTATAGAGTTTGTATATAAAATACGTTGTTGTTTCGGCTGTACCAGTAGAGGTTATTTAGAAAGTCGAGTTTTTTTGCTGTTGCATCCGAAAAGCAACGCTCATGATGGTTCTTAATTCAATCAGGTTAACCTGAAATTTAGGACTTGATGAAAAAAAAACTGAACAAGTATAAATAAATCCTCCTTTGAGAGCGAAACGATTGTGGTATAAGGTTCTGTTTTGGCTTGACTGTGCTAGTGACCTCAGTAGTTTCTGGAAAACAGCTACTCTAGGATGGGGGGGGGTTTGGGGAGTTTACTCTAGTATAGTATAGCAAAATTCAGCTGAACTAGCTCTAGTATAGGTTAAGGGTTCCAGGGTCCCAGCGGCACATCCCCACCCAGAAAATCCTAAAGTACCCCCCCGGGGCTTAAACGCAACAGAGTTTAATGTACAGGCAAGTGTATGACGGTATTGTATGATTTAAAGTACCAGAATCTTTTAAGTTGTCTTATTATTGATATTATTTCATGTCAGTGTGTTTCCCAATTTCAAGCTACAGAAGACATGAAATGATTAAATGAGCTTGACATCATCATATAAATGGTCAACTTGAAATGCTATCAAAATTTGTCCTTCAACTGAAGTCTTACTCAGGAATAACAAGTAATTTTGTTAGTTGTTATCAATACACATAAAAATATCCAAGCTTTTGTTTATTTTTGTCAGCTGCTATGTGTATCAATCAGCACAATCTACTTCGTATAAATCTGATTGGTTTCTAGTGGGATCTTTTTGCTGAACCTACCAGCAGTTTACATTTGTACTTGAGTTGTTACTTTTGCATTAGTGATACATGAAAAAGGCACCTAGCTGTTTTCAGCCAATCAAGAGCGTATTTTTTCATGCCAGTATTGTGATGAATTATTAACCAAAACCAAACAACTAAAAAAAAGTTGTAGTCTCCCAAATAAAGGCCTAATATACATGTATTCACTATTGCCACCTAGTTTAATATCAATGATTATCTAAGCCATTATGAAGAGAATTTAGAAGACTGCCAAGCTTACAGAAAGTCATGAAATGTTAAGGTCTGAAGAATTCTAGGCGTTACGTGGAAAACATAATACTTATCACATTTCAGTCGTCACATTAAACTACTAGGCTCCTATAAGCAATGGAATATAGGCATTGTAGAAAATCATTTGTGAAAACCAAAACATCACATCATTCCACAATTTGTGTTTTCCGACAACTTCTTTCAATACTGGCAAGTAAAATACATTTAACTACAACATCATAAGTGTAAGACGGCCAAGACGGTCGACGTAAGAACAAGAGATCCGAGGGAAGATTTACAAGTTTATTACACAGCAAATAAATGCAACGGTACAAAAAACTGGGAACGAGTGACACAAAAGCTAGTATAGCTCGGAATCCGCTTTAAGGGCACTCTCAGGAAGGCAACAAATCAACTGAACTTACCGAGCAAACGCTTGTAACTTATAGTAAAATAAAGGAAAAGGTAAAAATAACTTAAAACCAAATTTGGGGCAGGAGCTGTCAATTAAACAGGATTTACAGAAGGGAAATCGGTGTTTATTCTTACACAACAGGACAAGGGCAGGTACGGAAATAATACAATTAACACATTACTAATACAGTAAACACATTACTAACATTACTGACAAATCGCTAAAACTCCAGAAAATAAAATAAACAGAGGAACAAACATGTTTTAAGTAGAAAATAAGCCTAAGTGACTCTGTCACATAAGCATCCAACTCTCAAAATGATCCTTAAAACGTGATAACATATCCTTTGTTTTCACGAAATTGTCATGAGAGCCAATCCTTGACCGATATTGTTCAATTGAGATTTCCATACTTACCACACAAAAACCTGATATTTTAGGAATGTCCGTCGATTCTCTATATTCGCAGAACTACTCTTAAATTCTAAAAGCAGTTATATTCTATTATCCTCATACCTCGAGACAATGCGTCTTGAAAAAACGTTTCAGGAAAGCAAGGTTAAACTCTTCAAGGGCAGTATATACTGTGTGATAATCAGGGTAACCTGGAAATATTTAAATTGACACATATAATTACAAACTTCATCCATATGCAATGTATTACGTTTTCTTTTCTTCTCCTTTTTACCCTCCTTCTGGGAACCAGAAATGGCTGGTGGATTGAAAATGATATATTTCTTTGAGGTCTTGCCATGCTAGTAAAATCACATAATTTTTTTCCCCAGATAAAAAAGTTCATGTCTCCTAACCTTTGCTATATTGTTAATACTTAAATAAGATACTAAGTCAATGAGGAAAGGCAGGGAGTACTGAAGGGTCAAAACTTAAGAGGAACAGGCTCGTTGCATGCGGAATTGATTAAGCAATAATCACAAGACTATCTGGCGACTTTGATGATAATAGACTGTTCTTTGTGCAAGATTCGTGAGTTTTGATGGAAACGATCAAGACGTGGCATGTTCCACGAGTTCATCCAATGGGTGTTCAAACCTGACACTCGAGGCAAATTTGACCCTCCTCCACCTCCTCCCTTCCTTCTTCTCTTTTCATTTATATGTTTATGTATTATGGCCACTTGCCTTTTCATTGTTCCCTCACCTTTGCAAGAGCTTAGAAAATTTAAAATCATTAATTTTATAAGATTTAATTTTTAGACAATAAATCGGCCGTGACCAAAAAACATTCTGACCAGTTTTTATTTTTTAAAATGCTCTTGCAAACAAAGATCAATTTTTGACTTAGAAATCGACCAAAATATCGACATAGATATAATTTCATACTTCCATACGCTTCCAATGAGGGAAGGAGACATAAAGATTTCCCTTTTCGTAGCTTTTGACATTTAAAGCTATTTGTTATACCTGATAACTGTGGTGATAGGAAATTTTGTTTTTTTTCAACTGACAGATAGCTTTTCGGACCCTCATGGTAGCTTTACCTGTCTCTTCCCTCAATACTTTCTCTGTTGTCTCTGGTATGAATTACAATCCTTTGACTAATATGTCTGCATTTTATGTCTAACGTTCTTCCTGATAACTACCCTCTTGTTTCTTCATTTTACAAGTATTTTTTGGCAGTTTGGTTTAAGGGAGGTCCACGTTCATGTTTGGTCAAATGGTTGTTTTTAGCATGAAAGCCTTTTCAACTGAGGTGTGGGAAAAAAGTTCAATTTAGAAACATTTGTGTGACTTTTCCTATCTGTGTTTTTCTTGTCGTAAACATTGCAATCTTGTTTTTGAAATGTGTACAAGATAAAGTGATAAATTTTAAATTGCCATAAATGCAAGAGGCACTTCATACAAGAAGGATGTGATTTGATCTAACCAATATGAAAAAAAAAATGTGGTGGTATGTGGTACCTCAGAAAAATTGATCACAGACGTAGTTATCATTTTATCATAAATATTATTCAATTTTTCATCTATGCTATCGAAATGTGTCTGACTCTGGTTTTAAATGTAGTTGGCCAAAATTTAGGTTTTCACCCTGCCACTGTAACTAATTTTAAATGCATAACAACGGCCGGCTAAAAAAATATATGGCATTGTACACTTGACGTGTAAGAGTCAATTAAATCGTGATGACTACATTGGTTACCTGAATATGGATCCATCGGCTCCTGCAAATTAAACATACCTCTGAATTAGCGCGAACATGAATTGCCATGATGAACACTCTCTCTTCTCACGTGACCTTTTGGTATATTCAGGTCCTTAGCTTGGCATGATCATTAGAACCAGGATAAATCACAAATTCACTAATAGGCAAAAGCTATTTTTCAATTGTTGGTAAAGGGCAAGAGAAATGATTTCTTTGGAGCACGTGACTCCTTTCTGAAAAGTAATTGTAATTATAGTAATAGTGATATAGTTTATTTCTGACCCCTTGCAGCCTGAGGCTGAATTACTGGTACAGTATATACATAATAGATATAAATTAATACAAGAAATACATCACACAGGCTGATACTTAACGGTAACGAAATTTTTAAAACGCTCAGTTTTTACGAGCATGCGGTGAGAAGATTTGCCTGATCCCAGACACATTTGCGTTGTGCCGTGAAGTACTCGCTCATGAATATGGCGGTACAAGGGGTGGCCTGGGCGAATTTTACGGATAAACCGCTCGCAGGCATTCGCGCGGCGGGCCGAATTTGGCAAGTATTGATATTGCTCCAGAGAGTTTGAATATCGATAAACTTCGACAAGTAAGCGCAATTTGTTAGTCCTATCGTCAAACTGGTTGAAACATGCTGAGAATCAGATGACTTGGTCAAGGTTGATTTTGTCCCAGTCACTGCATGTATAATTATTGAATTAAAAGAACGATTTATTTCCGATTTTGCACAATCGAAACTGGTGAGATATTGGAATCCGAGATATACAACGATCGTTGCTAAAACTCTCTGTTCAGAACTTTCCTTGGCACCTTTGGATGCCTTTGTTTTCGGAAATCAACTGAAATAGTTTGAATATGACGGTTGGTCCTTAGCAAGTGCAGAAATGGGCAAGAGTACCATATAACCCCATACATTAATTATGCATTCAGTCGAAGTTCGCTCAGCCAACGCAAATAAATTTCTGCATCTGGGTTTGTCACATAACGGCGTTATGTGACAAATACGGATAGTAATTATTTTTTAATTTGGCGTTCTCTCTTTCGCTCGTTCGTTTTTTACTCGAGAAAAATATCCGAAATTTGAGACTTCAATATGAAACTAAAGAAACTAAAGAGGGGACTGGTTATCAAAGTCGGCGAGCATCAGAGAGCGAGACTATAGAGCAGTCGCTGATGTTGAAAGTACCTGTCACGTGACCGCGACGGTGCACAAACTAAACACAAGTTCAAAGATGGCGGATGGTGGAGAGGATCTAATTTTGTTTGGCGATAATTTTGAGGCAATTTTAGACACCTTTGATGAAGATGAAGTACTACAGGAACAGTTTTCAACTGCTGCAAGTGAAGTAAGTGCAGAATATTTAGAAGCTTACTCTTAGTCTATTTTGAAGGGGTTTACGGAGCCACACGCAAATGTACTTTCACGCGACTAACTACTAGAGAACAGAGAATTTCCCGACATTTTCAGATAACAATTTCCCAGCTATATTCTAGAAAAATTATAAAATTGTATTTAGTTTCTCTGGTAGAAGTGCCCTAGATACTAAAAATTGCCTGAATATTGCCTGGGTTTTGCTTTGTTAAAAATAGTTTACAGAGAATGCAACCTGACAACAAACTGAACATTGTCGCAAATGCCTTCGGAAGACGGCAAGTATGTTAACATTTGATCATATTTCATAGAGACAGACTCTAATATGCTGAAACTATGATTTAATATTTTTTGGTAGGTCCAATCAACCGAGATTGTTTGCAGCGAGTGTGGGAAAAAATACAAAACAAGAGGAGGATATCAAAGGCATCGAGCTGCCAAGCACAATCCAAATCGGAACGAGCATCGTTTGACTTTGACTGCTAGTATTCTAGCTGAGATTGTACGCAATGCATTAAAGAACATTTATGAAAGGGAAGTTTTTGCAGAAGATCTAAGGAAGGAGTTAAAACAGTACGAGTATCAAGTGCTTGAAGAAGGAACTCAAGAATTCTCTGTAATGAAGGCATTATTTGAAGGCTATTCAAAAAATGGGAATGCCGAGAAATTCTATGGCAACTATTATGCTCAAGTACCATTGAAGTCTCCAATGTTTTTCAAAGGACTATCTCAATTACGACGTTGTGACCAAC